TATATTCCTGGGTAAGTTTCCTGGTTAATAATATACATGAAAACATTTCTCAATGCTGATTGGCTCAGAGCAGTGCAATTTTTTCGAAATACAGCGCTAAAAAATGAAATACTGTGCAAAAAAAAGAAATACAGTGCAAATTTCATTGACTATTTAGGCTCTCTGATTGGCTTAAAATATGAAACAATAACAAAGATAGCCAATAAGATACAGCAATTTCCAGAAGAAATAATACAAAAACCCAACATGTAGGAGTTGTTTGTGTGATGTTACTCTGAGTGTATATCCACACCGGGCAGGCCCGAAAAACATGCCTGGCCACGGCGGGATTCGAACCTACGACCTTTGGAATACTAGCCCAATGCTCTTCCAACTGAGCTACGCGGTCAGGACGGTTCGAGTAAGCGATATTTCGGAACTGAGTCTAGTTCCTTCGATATCAGTGTAATCTAATATTTTATGAAATCTGCTGTGTTGGTGTAATGTACTCAGGTGAATAAGATGTTTGTGTGATGTTACTCTGAGTGTATATCCACACCGGGCAGGCCCGAAAAACATGCCTGGCCACGGCGGGATTCGAACCTACGACCTTTGGAATACTAGCCCAATGCTCTTCCAACTGAGCTACGCGGTCAGGACGGTTCGAGTAAGCGATATTTCGGAACTGAGTCTAGTTCCTTCGATATCAGTGTAATCTAATATTTTATGAAATCTGCTGTGTTGGTGTAATGTACTTTTTTACCTGAGTACATTACACCAACACAGCAGATGTAGGAGTTGTAACTATATAATTTTTTCATGTATATTATTAATAAGTAATAGTATGGTTTCTCGTGCAATTTGGAAAAGTATACACTCGTGAGTTTTTCAAGGACTTCAAATTCCACTCGTCCTTCGGACTCGCGCAATTTTGATCGTCTTTGAAAAACTCACTCGTGCATATCTTTTTCCAAGTTGCACACGAAACCATACTATTACCTATACTAGCCCGAAATATTTTAACCCGAGTGTTCTTAGAACGCTATAATATGGGGCACCGTAGCAGTATTCAGCAATAAACTGTCGTGTTTTTGGGCGGAACGTCCTGAAAAGATTAGAGAGGTTAAGGCCCTGTTTACACTATACCGGATTCGCTGGTCACGACATCTTCTTTTGCCGTTACGGAGCAATGGTTAGTAGCAAATGCTTATTAGTTTGGCAGAATTGGCATGTTTATTTGGGTCTCTGAGATTAAAAATCTTCACAGCCTTTCGATACCTACAAAATTTGACCCACTCCGATAGCAATCCGGTATAGTGTAAACGGGGCCTAAGATACCCCGGTTTCGGTGAACGGGTGCGAGTAGTGTCATCTTGTTTTACTGATGTCTGCAATTCGATCATACTTTTTCTGTTTTCTTGCAATAGACAACGATATAATGCGAAAAATGTGCACCTTAATTACGAGTAAAGCTACAGACATCGACGAAAATATTGCTAACAAAAATCACGCTACCCGTACACGTACACCGAAACCGGGGTATCTTAACCTCTCTATTAAGGCAAACTTTCACGTGTCTTTCAGGTATCCGACCAAAACGCAAACATTTTATTAGACTCTGAGTATAGTAGCATTTTGTAGAGTAAATAATGTATTTTAACTAGTTAGTATATGACAGAAATTATTTCTACAGTGGCGGAAATTATTTTTTCCTGTCATGGGGAACAAAGCCTCACTCTGGAAACACCCTATAGTTTAGAATTTCTTGGTTAATCTAACACTGTTTGGGTAGCTTAATGTTTCCTGTTAAATTTCCACAGTTCTGGTTAATTTTATCATAGCTAATTTAACCATGCTATATATGGTTGAATTAACCAGATTATGTTAGTTTGACTATTAACCAAGAATTTAACCATTATGTTACCCCCAAACAGTGTTAATTTTACATTAGCCAGGAGATTTTTAACCATGGAAGTCTTTAGAGTGCTACTGAATTTTCGACAAGCCCCTTTCCCCATGCATTTATACACTCAACGTACGTAAAGGTTGGAGGATAATTGCACCCCACCGAAATTTTCGCCACTGTATTTCTGTATAGAATGTATCTTGGAATAAATCTTCATCTGTATGTTTTATTTTTTTTTTTTTACCAGCATAAGTATAGGTAATCATGCGATGGGGAGTACAATTAGGGATTAATAGTACGAGTGATGTTTGGAAATTATGCCAAAATGTTTTTGTAACCTTTTTGTGGAAACACTGTTTCCTAGCCATGTTTCCTGAAGGTGGGCAAACCAGGAAACATTGTTTCCTAGCCATGTTTCCTGAATGTAAGCAAACAAGGAAACATTGTTTCCTAGCCATGTTTCCTGAAGGTGGGCAAACCAGGAATCATTGTTTCCTAGCCATGTTTCCTGAAGGTGGACAAACCAGGAAGCATTGTTTCCTAGTCATGTTTCGTGAAGGTGGGCAAACCAGGAAACATTGTTTCCTAGTCATGTTTCCTGAAGGTGGGCAAACCAGGAATCATTGTTTCCTAGTCATGTTTCCTGAAGGTGGGCAAACCAGGAAGCATTGTTTCCTAGTCATGTTTCCTGAAGGTGAACAAACCAGGAAACATTGTTTCCTAGTCATGTTTCCTGAAGGTAGACAAACCAGGGAACATTGTTTCCTAGCCATGTTTCCTGAAGGTAGGCAAACCAGGAATCATTGTTTCCTAGCCATGTCTCCTGAAGGTAGGCAAACCAGGAATCATTGTTTCCTAGTCATGTTTCCTGAAGGTGGGCAAACCAGGAATCATTGTTTCCTAGCCATGTCTCCTGAAGGTAGGCAAACCAGGAATCATTGTTTCCTAGTCATGTTTCCTGAAGGTGGGCAAACCAGGAATCATTGTTTCCTAGCCATGTCTCCTGAAGGTAGGCAAACCAGGAATCATTGTTTCCTAGTCATGTTTCCTGAAGGTGGGCAAACCAGGAATCATTGTTTCCTAGCCATGTCTCCTGAAGGTAGGCAAACCAGGAATCATTGTTTCCTAGTCATGTTTCCTGAAGGTGGGCAAACCAGGAATCATTGTTTCCTAGCCATGTCTCCTGAAGGTAGGCAAACCAGGAATCATTGTTTCCTAGTCATGTTTCCTGAAGGTGGGCAAACCAGGAATCATTGTTTCCTAGCCATGTCTCCTGAAGGTAGGCAAACCAGGAATCATTGTTTCCTAGTCATGTTTCCTGAAGGTGGGCAAACCAGGAATCATTGTTTCCTAGCCATGTCTCCTGAAGGTAGGCAAACCAGGAATCATTGTTTCCTAGTCATGTTTCCTGAAGGTGGGCAAACCAGGAATCATTGTTTCCTAGCCATGTCTCCTGAAGGTAGGCAAACCAGGAATCATTGTTTCCTAGTCATGTTTCCT